TATCTTGCCCTGTCCGACGTCTCCCTTCATCCACTTTTTGGTTGTCTGTCCCCCAGGGAGGAGGTCACACACAGTTCCATGTAATTGGTTCCCTCTTCCCTGCCCATTCTCCCTTTACCCTCCCTGTTTTGCCACTCACACCACTGGTCCTATAGGGCTCATCCGTTAAGGGAAATTATTTAAGCCAACATTTTTAGACTAAAATTTCCATACCTTTTCAACTGTGTCTTATTTATAACCATTCATCCCTAAAGTGTCTTTATATCAAAATAGGAAAGTAGAATTTTCCAATAGCAGAATGGGTTACTTAGAGTCTTTTGCCTTCACTTGAGGTGTGACAGCAAGTGCTGGTTTTACACAGGAATGTCAGATCTTGAAACACATGTAGGTGATGAAGGTATATGATGGCTCTATTGACTTGTGTGTAATGATGAAATGGCTCGACCTGGGGAATTCATACTCTTGGTTTACTGAGGCCTCTCTCAGCCATCTATTGGATGCCCTGGCATGGAAGTACAAGACATGGGGATTGAGGTCCATAATTCAGAGGGCAGACCTAACAACTCAGCCAAGTTATGGAAAGCATGCTTGAATACACAGAGTACCATTTCTAGGGGGATATAAGAAATGGAGGCATCTAGTCCACCTCTCAGAATGATTGATTATGAAACCTTGGGCCACCCTTCTGTGTAAATGGATCTACTACTTTGACTCCGCGGGGCTTGGATGATTAAGCTCTGGTTTACCTGATGTTTGGTCCGTAGACTGCTGTTCTGCGCGAGCACATGAGGCTTGGCACTGCTCCAGCAGCGCTTGAGAGAGGTTGTGAGGGTGAAGGCACGGCACACAATTCCTGAATAGGTGGGGTTGGGGGGGCGGAAATGCAAAAAGCACTTATTAATTGAAAAATTTGTATTTGTCTGAGAGAAATAAACAAATACTGCTTTAGAAAAGAAGGCTGTGCAATTTATTTGTAATTCTACATAAATCTAATGCCACCCCAAAGGTACATTTTAGCAGCATATCATAGTTTGATACTATTGAAAATCAAAACAATGATTTCACTGTATTGAAAAGAAAATATCAAGGAAATGAATCAAATACTCTTACCATAAATTAACTTGTTAATTATATATGTGTTTTATAATATTAATATTATACTACTACTGTAAGAATCAAACAGTGATAGACAATTCAAACTTTGGACAGGTTGATTAGAAATAGCCTCATGATTAGGTCTTAGCGCTATACTTCAAAATGAATTAAATATATTTCTAAATGTAATTAAAAATATTACTAAATATAATTCTTTTAATGACTCAGGAAAAATTGGATATTCATTTGCAGAAAAATGAAACAAGACTCACATCTCAAATCATATACAAAAATGAACCCAAGATGGATCAAAGACCTAATTTTAAAACTTAAACTATGAAGATCATCAAAGATAAAAAATAAGGACAAATATAAGGGGCCTATCTATACATGTCATAAATACACTATTCAACATAACTCAAATTACACCACTGAACAACAGAAAGCAAATTAAATGATGGGCATATCTTAAAAATAAGACACTTTGACACCTGAAGATTTCGCCAAAGAGTGAAAATATAGCTCAGAGACTGGAAAAAAATGTTTATGCCAATAACTTATTGGACAAATCTGTAAAATTTATAGAATATTTTAATATCTCAACAAGAAAAAATAGAATAAACCCAATTAAAAATGGGCAGTGGAGAAGAACAAATATTTTATTCACTGAAGAAAACATTTAAGAAGTCAATAAACAGATAAAGAAATGCTCATGATCATAATCCATTAGAGATGTGCTAATCGAAACAATGAGATATCCTCTCCCGCTGCATTAATAGAAAAGTGTAGAAAGACATAAAATAAATGCGAGGGAGGGTGTGGATAGTCTGGAACCCTGAATCTACTGCTAATGGGATTGTAAAATGTAAAGCCACTTTGGAAAACAGTATAATGTTTCCTTCAAAAGTTGGAAATCTAAATACCATATGATCCAGCAATCTTACTATTAGGTATATATCCTAGAGAAGTAAGAGCCTCACCATGAATAGATAGACAGATGCACACCCATGTTCAAACAGCACTAGGCACACTAGAAAAAAAGATGGGAACAACCTAAATGTCCATTAACTGAAGAGTGGATAAATACACCATGGAACAGACACAGTGAGATACTATGTGACATTACAGACTAATGGGTGGATGTGTGAACCACTCCAAAACATGGATGGACCTGGAGACCATTATGCTAAGTGAAACTAGTTAATCACAAAAGGATAAATATTAAATGAGACCAATTTTATAAAAGTCAAGGAAAGGTTTTCACACAGAAGGAACACCTTTTGATGGTGAACATGGGTGAGAGGGAAAAGAAGGGAAAAATCACTAGCTAGACACGGTATAAACTGGGATGAAGGGGAAATTTATATATAAATTTTAAAAAAGAAAAAAGGAAATTACTCAAACTACTAATCTGATGCATTTTAAAACTTGAATCACACAAATATGAAGGGACAATGATGCTTATAGTGGTGATCTTTATCTCAGCAGGTTACAGGCTGTTACTGGCACGAAATCCATTTTTGGCACCAGATAATGTCATTATTTAACATAGGGCCGTTCATGTATATATCGCTTGTGCCTAGAGCGCTTAGTGGAAGCCATCATTCTTTACAGTAAAAAAGTAAAACACAGAATGATTATGATGTATGAAAATAGTATGAAACGGGTTATCTAGTTATTTCGCAGACCTGAAAGGAGGCATTTTCATCCTCAATTTTCCCCTGAGGGCACTGAGGCACAGCCATGGCTGCAGCCTGCCTGGAGCGCAGCATGCGTTCCTCGTCAGCTGGGACGATGGCAGTCCCTAATGGTCAAGAGCGTTTCCCAGAAACTGAAGGCAGAGACTGCTTCGAACATTTTGATTCTCTCATCATCATCTAGTGGCCCAGGGTTAAAACCTGTCTCCTAATTCTCCAAAGCTCCATTCCGTTCTTTCTTAGCATGATGATCTGGAGGCACACATCCAGCAACTTCCATAGTTTCAAAGGCAGAACACAAAGGGGCCATCAGAGCCATGCTGGTGTGCCCTTCACACAGGCATGGCAGAGAAGAAGCGTACCAGTTTTCATCGCAGGCTGTGTTGCAGGTGGGGCAGTGTTCACAGAAACGCCCGATGCTCATGGGATCCGTGCACTCGCACCTGCCACACACACAGGTGCCTCGCCCACTGCACACTTGGCCCTTTGCGTTGGTACAGTGTTGGACTGATGGTGACGGGCACTGGCACCAGTCTCCTTCCCAGCCACTGTCGCACTGGCACCTACCAGCCTCACACTCTCCATGACCTGCAACAGACACGCCAGGACCTAAGTGATAGGCACCCACTGACATTGTGAAGTGCTTCCCAGCACGCATTCCCCCTCGTTGCCATGAAAACGCTCACAATCCAATGATTTTCTACTTACGGCCAGTCTCCAGGAGCGGCTACAGTCAAAGCTGTTCCAACGTAGATCATCTCCCGGTGTGGTTATGTTGTGCTGACAAGTATGAACCCTGCTGTGATTGCTGCCTGACTACTTGGACACCACTCTGCCCTCAGTTTTACATTTAAACTGCACATGTATAAAGAAGTTACAAAGGCTGGAGTAATTAATGGCCTCACTTGAAATCAGGAGAATAAAGGACTGCAATTAATGGCTTCCATGATTTACTCTTTTCATAATTTAAGTCTTTTGTGATTGTTAAGGCCTGGGATAACTTTGAAGGACCAGGCAACCCAGTTTTGTGAGTGTCGTGTTTAAAGAAAAGTTTCCTTGTGAAGTTGACCAAGTCTTTTCAGATGTCGTGCGTGTTAATAGGTTAGTAGGTTAGCACGGATAATGTATGCAGAGAGCTGCTAGCCCACTGTTTCTGTGTTGACTTCAACTCCCAGTGACCCTCTATAGGGTTTTCAAAGCTATATATCTTCACGGGAGCAGACAGCCTCATCCTTCCTCCTCAGAGTGGCTGTCAGGTTCAAGTGCTAAACTTCCAGTGAGCAGCTCTGCACATAACCCGCAACCCCCAGGTTTCTTGCAGCGAGCTGTGACTAGGAGCCAAATGGAAAAGAGGAATCAGGGTGGCCGAGGGAGGGATGCTTATGTGGGCAACAAGTTGTGAAAATACGGGTTAAATTGGGTTCACAGTATCATTGAATTGATTTCAGACGAGGAAGTGGCCAATACTGAATATGCTCATGCAATTTTGTAAACAAATAAATCTTCCATAAGGGAAATCTTTTCCAGGATTCTTTAGTGTTTGCCAAGTTTATTTGGCCAGCATCATGCTTCCCTCTGTCTCCCCACCTCCTCCATGTCCCCCCTTTCTGTCCCCTTCTTTCTCTCCGTCTCTCCAGCTTTCCCTTCAAGGCTGCACACTTCACAGGGGGGGGGGTGTTCTGTGGAATCTGCCATTGGATCAGCTCCATTTACTAAAGGGTAAAGCCAGTGTGACCCAGCCCTAACAAACGCCTGCCAGGCCCTGTGCGCCTGAGTCCAGCCAGCTGACCTGCCAATCTGTGCGTTTAGTTCCAAAGGAAATCAGTGAAGAAAAATGTGGGTCACTATTACAGTTTGTCACTTAGTCAGAAAAGGCTCAAAGCAGAGTCTCAGCGCCTGAGGGTCAGTAGTTCTGCAGTCACATGGAAGGGCCAGCACCTTGATTTGGAAGATATTTCACTATAAACAGTGGGATTCTTGGTGTATTTCAAATTTCACTGAACAATAACTCTAAAAAATAGCAAACAATTACTAATTTGTTGTAAGATTACTTGTCCAATCAATTGATGATATCAGATACAGCTGAATAAATGTTTTGGATAATATTATTCTCTGTATTTAAAAAATATATTTTACATAATGTATTATATATAATGATATAAAGTAGAATAAGAAGACAACTTGCCATACACTCAGGTATGTATGATATAGGGCCGATTGTTAAGTTTACCTAAGATACACCATTTGTCCTTAGAAGTTTGCCACTTTTCATTAAAAGCAAACAACAAACACACACCGTATTGCCATCTGGCCAATGTCATTCAGAGCAGCCCTGCAGGGCAGGGACGCTAACTTTTCCAGGAGCAGCAAAGTCCACCTTTCTCCAGCAGAGTCAGCTGGTGGTTTCAAACTGTGCATCTTGCAGATGGAAGTCCAATGCACAATTACGACATGATCATATAAATACAACTATTTCCACCCTACTGTTCAGATCAATATTGATGAGGGTATGTAAAAATACTGCAAAGCCATTTTCACAATAACACATTGCCAACAGAAATGTCATTCCAGAATCGTGGGGACTACGAGATCCCATTCTCACCCACTGCTGTGGAGCAGATTCTGACTCAGGGAGCAGACAGGACAGCAGGGTGGGGGGCTCAAAGACTGTACATGTCTTTATGGAAACAGACAGCTCATCTCTCTTCCCTAGAGATGCTGGTGGGTTCCCAAGGTCAATTTTGCAGCTAGCAGCCCAGTGCTTAACTCTCTGCATCACCAGGGCTCAAGTTCATTTAATTCATTAAAAATAATATTTTGTATTAATTTTCAAATGTTGCAGTTTTTCTGGAATCTAACCTCTAGGTGGCAGTAAGCCTAATTGACCGAGAAGCAAGCATACTTTATTTTATTTCATTTTTCACTTAGGCGGTGTGTGGCCTCAGGCACTGATCTCCCAGATTATTTAATAAACTAGTATGCACTTGAAGAATACTCTCTTTTGGCAATTCTGTTGCTGGCAGTGTTTCAAAACTGAACTGGAAAGGTTGGAATCACTACAAACTTACAATACCATATAAAATAAGGCATTAAACCTTATGTTCCAATGAATGAAAAGAATTTTTTCAGTAACTCATTTTCCATCATCCTGAAAGAAATACAAACCTTGAGTAACAGAAGGAAAAGAGCGCTTATCATAATGAACCAGATCCTTCTAGAAAAAGACATTGATTAATAAAAAAACCAAAACCTATTGTCAGGATCAGTAATTTCCTTTTCCAGGAGCTATCTTTCCAAAGTCAAAGAATGCACACGCAGAACAAGTATTTATTTTTGTTGTTCTTTATTGTGTCCATGTTTCCTATAAGAAATTAAGCTACAAGTAGGACGAAGTGCTACAGCTCATTTGCCATGCTCTTATTTAAAGTCTTACTTCATGGACTATAAAATCCTGAGTAATGAATTTAGATTCAGAGTTGGTAACGGTACAGCTGTGATTTAAAGATAGTTAGCACAGATGCTAATATAATTGTTAGGGATAAAACGGCATGTATAAAATGTGGAAATTGCAAATGTGCTATTTTTTTTTACAATTTCACAACTAAGAGAGCACAGTGGGAAAAACCCCAAACCACTGCCTGCACAGATGTTCACTCACCAGCACATAGATGTCCTTGGTGATACGGGCAAGAAAAGTCATCCTTTTCGCAGTACTTCCCATATACTTTTCCCAGCTTGGTTTCGTGACAGAAACACCTTCCACAAATACAAACGCCTCGACCGCTGCAGACAGGTTGCTCCTTGTGTGCCTTGCAGCTCTCAGAAGAAGACGGATCTCCGTCTGAATGGCATGCACTGTCCTCACACTGGAAACAGTTAGCAGCGTCCAAAAGAGTTTCATCTACACACGTTCCTCCAGGGTCTCTGCTGTCAGCACACCGACAGCTGCAGTTTCTATGGATATGAACTGTAGTGGTTTCATTGAAACCGATAGGCTTGATAATTGCATAGCTTTTTCCTCCGGTGACATCACATTTTTCCATTGTGACCGTTACACTGAAAAGAACCTAAGTTTAAAGAGAGAAAGGGAATGTATTTTATATGCCTTGATGAGTTTTTAAATCTCCAATAAGAGCTCACCCCACCACTCCCACTCCCCACCCTCTGGCCAAGAAAACAAAACAAATCCGAACTCATTTCTATTGAATCAATCCCAAGTCAAAGTGACCCCAGCAACAGGGGAGAACAGTCTCTGTGGGGTTCCCAGGCTCCAACTCTTTATGGGAGTACAAAGCCTCATCTTTTTCCCTAGGAGCTGCTGGCAGTTTTGAACAGCTGACCTTGAGGTTAATAGCCCAATGAGTACCACTATATCACCTTTCCAATAATACATTTGTTAATATTTAAAAGTGACCACATATCATCCTAGAGGAATTACCAATATTTATAAATTACATATGCAATGCAATTCCTTTCATAGAAGCATATCCCTTTTAATGTCATTCATTTTCTCATGAATGAACTAGAGCAGCGGTTCTCAACCTGTGGGTTGTGACCGTTTTGGGGGTTGAAGGACCCTTTCATAGGGGTTGCCTGATTCATAACAGTAGCAAAATTATTGTTATGAAGTAGCAACGAAAATAATTTTATGGTTGGGGGTCACCACAATATGAGCAACTGTATTAAAGGGTCGCGGCTTTAGGAAGGTTGAGAACCACTGCTCTAGAGAGATAAAGGATGGAGTGATTGGTAATTGTCTATAATGTACTTTTAAATGAACTTGGGGTGGGGTGCAAGTTTATTTGAAGCACCTACTCCACCATTTATGATTAATTCATGTCTTGACTGGATTTCCTAGAAAACGTGAGAGAGAATGTTGGGGATCCAGTCCTACTATTCTGAGATTATGGAACAGGTATTACTAGACATAAGTCTAAATAAACTGCAGTAAAGGGCTGCTCCTCTATTAGTTAACAGCCCTAGAGGAGATTTCCAGTGAACAATTTTTATCTTGTTTGTGCTTTCTAGAGGTTCGGGTAGGGTTTTAGGGTCACCTTTTGCTTTATACAGGAGACAATGGAAGAAGACAGTAGCCTCTTTTGATATTAAGAAAGGATGCAAGCATTGGGACTCTCATTCTGAGACCTAAAGCCTCACCCCCACGGGCCTGACATTTGTCTTAGTGAGAGATGGTAGTCTAGAACTAAAGTGCTGGGCTGGCAAAAACTAGTTTTTTTCATGTATTTGTCGTTTCTTTCTCCTGTCAAAGTCCCCCCACTTCTGTTGTTTGGCAATAAAATATTGGTTTAGTGTTGATCTGTATTTGTTAACCAATCTTACTGTCTTCAGGGACTTTGGCAAATAATGTTTTATTGATTTATTTAACCACCCATGCTACATCTGTTTACACACACACATATCCATGCATGTGTGCGTACATACACACACGTGGTGGTGGCTGTTAGGCACCATCAAGTCAGTGACCCTGTGCACAATAGAACTAAGCAGTGCATGGTCCTGTGTCAGCCTCATAACCATTCCTAAGCTTGAGCCCAGTGATTCAGCCTCTCTGTCAATCCATCTCTTTGAGAGCCTTCTTCTCTTTTGTTGTCTCTTCACTTTACCAAACATGATGCCCTTCTCCACGGACTGGTCTCTTCTGAAAACATGTCCAAAGTATGTAAGACGAAGTCTTGCAATATAGGGTTTTAATAAATAAAAGTTTTATAATGTAAAAAAAAATTGTCTCTAAGGAGCATTCTGGCTTTAATTCTTCCAATACAGATAGGTTTATCCTTTTAGGAACTCATGTTTCTTAACATGCATACTATGATATAAAATTCTACATTTGGTTATATAAATTTTATATATGTCCATTAAGAATTAGAAATAATCTCATAATATTAAAACCAATACAGATGCCATTGTACTCTAAATTCTTTTGGTTTTAAGAATGTTAAGAATTAACAGATGTGTAGGACAGTGTGGTCACGGTCAATATTAAAAGTAGAGTAAAACTTGTGTTTATATACATAAAAGCCCATATGTCTATTCCCTAGAGTTAGACTGTTTATGGTTGAAGGTTGGGGGCGGGGGGAAAGGAATGTAGACCCCCCAAAAGTAAAAAAGTATAAGAATGAAGGAAAATAAATCTGCTCAAATGCAATTTTGAAAAGAATAATTACTTGTAAGAGAATAAATCTTCGAAAGAGACTTTTAGCTCACTTCCACCTCGTACAAAGTTTTCTCTATATTTAATGGTAATCAAAGTGTATTTTGATATATGATGTCTTTTGGAAGAAATCCAACAAGTGATTATAGATAAGTTTATTTAATTAGCTACTTATAATAATTTTTTAAAACACACAGCATGAAGAACAGATGTGTGTGTGTGTGTGTGTTTATAAAAAGCCAAACCCCCTCTTCTTGGGTTGCTTTTCACTAATAATGGTCTAATAGGACAGAGCAGAACCATCTTAGTGGTTCTCAACCTTCCTGATTCACGACCCTGTCATACAGCTCCTCATGTGGTGGCCCCCCACCCATAACATTATTTTCCCAGCTACTTCATCACTGTCATGTTGCTAGTTATGAATCATCATGTAAATATCTGATATGCCGGATGTATTTTCATTGTGACAAATTGAGCATAATTAAACATAATAAAGCAAAATGATTAATCACAAAACTATATGTGATTATATATTGTGAAATATTTATGTGTTTTCTAAGACTAGGCAACCCCTCTGAAAGGGTTGTTTGACTCCCAAAGGGGTCGCAACCCGCAGGTTGAGAAGCGCTGCTATAAGGTTTTCAAGGATATGTATATTTTTTAATGAAAATAGACTGTTACATCCTTCTCCTGCCAAGTGGATGGTGGGTTAGAACTGCCAATCTTTGGGTTGGGAGCCTAGAGCTTAACCATGGTACTAGCTAAAGAAGAGGTACATTACTCACCAGTCTCAATTTCCTAAGGGGGAAAACATGCATTCTAATGAAAGAGACAGAGGGACTTTCTTATAGCTCAGATTTAGAATCTTTCAACAATGTTTTTTTTTCCCTTTATAGAAAAGCATAGAAAAAAATAGTAAGAATACCATGTAACTTCAGGGGTGGATGAAAAGAGCTGGAAATCTTCTACCCTCAATTTTTCACTTTAAAACCTACCTGTGTGCTCATGAGGGGCTGACGAGAATAGGTATCAGAAGCACAAAAACAAACAATCAAATTGACGTGAAGTGGTATAGACAGAGCGGAGACCCAAAATCCACCGGTAAGATAATTGAAAAGTCCCTCATAGAAGGGCCACATGGGAGGGATGATATATCCCGAGGGTGGCATAATACTGATGAAACACATAACTATACTCTAGTTCTTTAATATTTCCCCTCCTTACTATTATGGTCTTAGTTTTACCTCATCAATCTTATGAGACCTGTGTATTTTTATTTGTATAATTAAGATAGTTCTGAAGATAGATCATTCAGAAATAGTAATGGAATAAGGATTTCCTGAGGGTACAGGAAGGGAACTGGGAGGAAGGGGGGCAAAGGAACTGAGGGGAAAAAAATAACAGAATTGTAGGTGAACGGATACATTGGATGATGTAAGTTATGGCAATTTGTGTGTGTGTGTGTGTGTGTATACATAATACATACATACATACATACATATGTATATGGGTTCCTGGGGTGGGGTGAGGAGGGAAGGGATAAAGGAGAGCTGATATCAAAGAATTCAAGAAGAGAATGTTTTGAAAACATTTGAAAATGGTGGCAGCAATTGTACAACGATGCTTGATCTCATTGAATTACAAATTGTTATAATATCTGCAAGAGCTCCCAATCAAATGATAAAAAACAACAACAATAAGGCAGTGATGCCCAAGTTGTAAATGACTCTCAAAACTCACTTTGCCAGTAAGAATCACTTTAAAAGCACCCTGCTGGGTGTTTATTCATTCTGAGAGAATGTCTTCTCTAGTTCTATTTTCCTGAAATTTCTATAACCTGGGGTTCTCTTTTTAATCACCTCCCTTTAAAATTCAACGATGCCACTACCTTTTTTCTTGTATTTAAAACATTTTGTTACATTTTGCTAGGCCATGATGAGTGTATGGGGACCAACACAAAATGAAGACTGGAATTTTTCACCTACATCAACTACTCCCTTATTCCCACTCCCCCTTATTTTCAGGGCGATTATTTAAAATGTTCTGGTCATGTTAAGCATTTTCGGACGTGAAACCAACAGCTATCATCATTATCTAAGACTGGTTTGTTGAGGGTGCGTGGTTTCTGAAGCTGAGCTGTGACATCCATGTGTCCATTAGCTGTTCTCCAGTTGGTATCAGACTCATATGTCAATCCAGCTCCCAATGAGCTCTGGCCTTGGTGATCATAGTCTTGTTATGGGCTAGTTTTCAGAAGTACATTGCCTGACCTTTCTTCCTGGCTCGTCTTAGTCTAGAATCTCTGCTGAAACCTGTTCCGCATCATAGCAATACCCAGCCTCCAATGATAGACAATTCGTGGCTCCTGAAAAGGAGCACCATCCAGGAGTCAAACTTGGGTCTTCCGCATGGAGGGCAAGAATCTACCTTTAAACCACCAGTGCACCCACGTTTAAAGAAACCATTATTAAATAAGTGATGTGCTAGAATATGCATCGCACTAGTTATTTTAATGAGAGAGAGCTGAGAACAGAGTCCATAGCATTAAAAACAAGGAGGAATTTTCAGAAGAGACAAAGAAACGTATTTTGAAGTCTAAATAAGATGCTTGGAAAGCCAGTGGTGAGCAGTGTTTTCCAGATTGGTTTGACGTCAGACAACTTAATCTGAAAATATGGAAAAAAGCACACAACCTACTTCGTCACTGTTTGTCACATTTTTGCAACCGTCCACTCCTGGCTTTCTTGACCCATCTGGACAGATGGCAGTAATGTTGAAAGAGACGCCTCGGACCTGGTTTTCCAGCTGAACTTTTACTTCTGAAATGAGTTTCTGCAAAAACATCAATTTTAAAAATCACATACTAAGGTGGTTTCAAATGTAAACAACAAAACAACATCATGTGTATAACTAATGCTACTTGTAAGTTTTCTACCAAAAAAGGGTAAATAAAAAAATATCACCAGTTACATTTCAAATATATAAGAAATGCTGAAGTGTCGATTCTCTTCACTTTTGTTCTATCTTTGCACATATTTCCATGACTATGGACTTCAGCAACTCCAAAAGTATTTTTCATTTGTCCAGTGTTATGAAAGGAATCATTTTAAACCTCAGTAATCCTTAAGCTTTGTGGCATATATGATAACACATATACACTAAAAAGCAGAAATCGATGGCATATGCCTCTAACTTTTTAACAGCCACAGAAACACGTCAGTTCCAAACACTTTTTGTTATTTTTCTTGGCATTGGCTTCCACTCGGGGTGACCCTCTGCCAGCACAGCACAGGGATTCCTAGCTCCGCACCGTCTTCAGAACCGTGGTGAGGGTGAATTCATAACTGTGGCCACTCTGCAGTGCCTTTCAACCTCGGAGGCTAATATTCCAGCACTCTAATAGGAAATATTCTATTAGGATCCATGAGTTTTACATTTGCTCGTTTTTAGAACTTTTTATAATTTTGTGAATATTTAGTCTTTCTCCCTAGTATGTTTTAGTCGAAGTTCCATAGAAACTTTCCCACCATGAATGATCCTGTGGGTATCGGAAGTGCCAGTGGCATAGCGTCCAGCCGCACAGCCTTCACACAAGCCATCATGGTATGACCCAAGGGAAGTGGTACTAAAAAACAAACTCACTGCATCGAGACAATGCCAACTCATAGCCATCGTACAGGACAGGGTAGAAATGCCCTTGTGGGTTCCAAGACTGTAACTCTTTATGACAATAGAAAGCCTCACAGGTTATCATAAAAACTCTAAGGGCAGATGGATTCAGAATTGTAAGGTAAGCTTTCGGAAAGCCAAGGTACAAGAATTCACTGTCATATACGGTCCTATAAAATTACTCTAAGAATGGTCTAGGATATTTTCTAAATCTTTGAGGATTGTTCAAAAAATATTTCTCTATACTTAATACCCAACAGTACTTCTCACTGGGCAGGAATTAACTCATTTATGAATCCAAAAGTGTGAGTATCCACTTACTAAATAGCTAAAATGCCCATGAATTATTGGGCACACACTAAATATTCTATAATTTATCTCTCTTGCATGGGGTCTAGAGTTCCAAGTGAATGAACTACATTGATGCATTCTGCAGACCTGTGTGTGTGTTGTCCTCTAAGAGTCTACCACATGCAACGGTCCTTCAGTTAGAAACAAAGTAGTCAGAATACACCTAAGGAAAGGAAGTGAGGAGCAGGATACGAAGAAAAGGTAATTCCTGATGGATTCTAGTTCCTCGAGTAAGTTTTCTTCTTCAAAAACATAATTCACAAAGAGACACGTGCTTATAGATTATTAAATAATAACAGAATTATGAAAATACATCTTATAAACAAAACTATAATTATGAAAGTACACCTTATATTTCCCTTATATTCCTGAGTTATATTGAGATCATTTGGGACAATGACAACCATAGTTTTTATGCTTTTAAAAAATCTTGCAGAAAACTAAGTATACCTGAATCAGTTAATAGAATCAGTTCTCTAAACCAATAGAAATGTCCAATTGTATACAACACTGCCATGTTGGTAATGGAATGGCAGTTGGAGTAGTCTCAGGTTTGGGTAAATGGCTAATGAGCTTGGCTGCTAACTGAAAGTCTGAGGTTCTAGTCCACCCAGAGGCACCTTGGAAGATCTGCTTTTGAAAAATCTGCTACTGGAATGCTTATGGAGCAGAGTTCTATCCTGACACTCATGGAGTTTGCAGGGGTTGGAATCTGCAGGTTATAGTAGTAGCAGCAGTAGTAGTATGGCACGTCAGAAGGAAAGATTTCATACAATGAACATTCTGTTTGCCCTTATGAAATTCGGCTGTTCTTAAGTCTTTAAGCTGATGATTCCCCAAATCAGACTCACGGCCATGAAGTCGATGCTGACTCACAGTGACCCTATGGGACAGGACAGAACTGCCCCTGTGGGTTTCTGAGACTGTCGCTTGCTTTGGAAGGAGAAAGCCTCATCTTTCTCCCTCAGAGCAGCTGAGGGTTTCCAACTACTGACCCTGCAGATCTCAGCCCAACATGTAACCACGATGCAGCAACCAGGGACCCTTTCAAGGTGGTTAGCAACTGTGTTTTCAAGTAGGGTGCGAAGACAAATCTCTAAAAATGTGGCCCAGTTTGAGGATTTAGAAATTAAGTTCAAGATCCAGTTTAAGCTCCTTTTACAATATTTAACAGGCACAGGAACAGAAATGTATTTTTCTGATGTAGAATTCTTTAATGATTATGAAGTGTTTTGTTGGACTGGGAAGACAAATGGAAACTTTCAGAACAATTTTGAAAATATAGACAAAAAAACAACAACAACCAAAAACAAGTAACAGAATCTCTACCGAAAGAAACTAGTTACCAGAGAATTTTTGTTGTTGAACCTGCTGGTGTTTTTCTATTACTTAAGTTTAGCAAGAACTATGCTGGGCCAAGGCATTACCGATGCATATACTCCAGACAAATAAAGCGCATGAAGTCACATGTGTTGTTTTGGTGTAGTCTGACACATAGGTAAAAGTGTGTCGATTTATCTCTCTTGCCTGGGGTCACGAATGGGTTCATACTTTAAACATTTACTTTAAACATTACGCTCGTTCACAATTGTGATTATCTTGGTTAACAAACTACTGGTGCCAATTATTTGTACAAAAATGATTTTTTAAGATAAGAAGATAGTCCTAATGCTCTTTTGTAACGGCGAGGAAGAAATGTGACTTCAAGATGCTCCTCTTTATTTCAACCAATGTAGTGGTTGGACACAGAAAACCCCCTCTTCTGACATAGAGAAATCTAGAAAGATTTCTTTTCCTTTAAAATGAAAAATTTAAACAAGTTCTCTACTTCCTTCCTTTCTCTTTGGTACCACATTCAGGGAAGATATGACTTGAGTTAAATTAAAGGAGAGGAAGTCCGCGGAACTACTGATGCTATTAAACAGCATCACTGTACTGGGAAGAGAAGCAGAGAGTTTGGAGAAGTGAGACTTTACCAAACCCACTGCTGTTGAGTTCAATCTGACTCATAGCAGCCCCAATCTGTAAGCGCCAACAGTCTCATCCTTCTCCTGCAGAGTGTACAAATGTCTTAGTTAAGAGGTACTGTCTCTAGCCATAGCTGGGGGATTAATTGAAAGTTTGAATGGCTGACCTTGTGGTTAGCAGCTCCATGCAGCCCTTCTAAGCCACCAGGGCTGCTCGTGAGCCTACCAGTGGCTCATGTTTCTGGGATAGAATCGAAGCCCATATTGTTGGCACCATGTTTGGAATCAAACCAACAAGATGGTACTACAAAAGAGAAAACCCTGGCCATCTGCAGTCCAGTCATACGGGTTCCAGCCCTACCTCTATAAAGTTAAAGTACTCAATTTCTCTTAACTTTAATTTCTGTAAATGGGAGTACATCTGACTTCTAAGTTGGTTGTGAGGATTCAGTGAGCTCACGGGTGAGAAAGGGATTGGTTCTGGGTAGAGGTAATATGATGAGCCATTATTATATAACCTCTTAACAGATATTATATCCCAACTTTGATTCAGGTTGATGTAGCAGCCATCTCTTTAAATTCTTTGCATTTCCATATGCCCTACTTATCAGATTAGTGACAGCATATGGCTGCCAATTCAATAAAATAGTGTGTCTACTGAAGCTCGCCTGAGTGGGTTAGACATTGGCTTATTAAGCACAGAGTTGGTGATTCCAACCTACCAGGTTCTTGGTGGGAGAAAGCTGAGGCTGACTGCTCTCATGAAGAATTTTCGTTTGTGAAATCCTATATAGGGTGGCAACTGAATGCGATTCACCTCATTGGAAGTTCATTTTATTCAGGGGATTTTAAAAATCAAAATAGATAAAGAATTTGACCTCAGAGCACCCAACAGGATCTTCCCGGTAATCTGTAAAATTCAGATAACTGCACATATCTGACTAGTTGATTCTTTAAATAACAACGTGGATTACTTACTTCATGACTTGGGAGCATATGGAATATCTTAATTCAGAGGTACATTCTGCAGCTGTAACTGGGTGGTTCGTTCAGTGTTTTATTGGGAAGGTAGTGTAGGCAGTTTCCGGTTCAAACGCAGCTTATTGTCAATGATACAACTGAACAGAGAAAGGTGAAATGACTTTGCCCAAAATAGCACAGTTCGTGAGTGGTAGGGGAAAAATGGGGGGAACGGACAAAAGGTAAAACACAACTCAGAAGTAAACACATTGCTGCGGAGTTGATTGCACCTGAGAGCGACCCTAGAACAAACAGCACCTTAGGGTTTCCAAGGCTGCAATCTTCATGGAATCTGACGCCACGGCTTTTCCCAAAGCACAAACGGTGGGTTCAAAGTGCTGTCCTTTCAGGTAGCAGCTCATCTCTTAGCCACTGTGTGGCCAGGACTCCCTGTGAGTGGCAGGGCCAGGGTGAAGCTCTGCATCCCAGGTTCCTAATGGGATGGCATGTCCATCACTCCTACCAAGATATGTAGCCCTAGTTTTTCCTCTGATGCAGGAAACTGGAGTAAAACGTTTATTTAAAAACAGAACAACAGCACACTGCATATAACATATACATACCTTATAGGCTTCCACCACCAAAGAATTGAGGTTTGCAGCATTTGATTCTATTTGACCAGCAATGGTGCCAGGCAAGAGTGGTAGAAGATCCTATAAAACATATGGATCGCATTTTCATAATGACAAAAGAATACCCGTGATTTATCAATCAGGAAATGTAAAATATTTTACAGATTTAAGCAGAAGATGAAATATTATGAAATTAAAATAAGAAAAATAGAAATAACCTAGAACAGCTAGAGCATATATCTAACATAGTGTTTGTCTGTATACATGCATGAATATAAATATGAACTAATTAAATGCTGATCCAAAACTCCAGCATTTTCCCAATTTTCATTCATGGAAAATAGACCAAAGAGATTTTAAACATAAAATAACATCTGAAGGCAAATAAATTTGAGGACTGCTGCGTATGTTTTCCTTCATTTAGAGACTCAAAATTTGTATTTGCACACCAAAGATTCTAAGATGCTCTGCAATTCAGGAAGAATTTAACATCATTTAATGCGGAATTTCCTGAAACTTCATTGATAACAGAACAGTTTTATTCATATATATATATATATATATATATATATATATATATATACACACACATATATATAGTAGGCGTGTGTGTGTGTGTGTATTATGGACACCACACCATTGTCTATGGACTGACCTTTAGGACATGTGGGACTGAAAAAAAGAAGAAAAGTCAGAATAGCTCATGGAAGTTTCATGAAACAGGTGGTCTTGATGGATGGAACTAAATAATTACAGTGAAAATTCTAGGTGTTCCCAGGGAGAAAATGAGGATGAAGAAAGGTTTACTTGAGCTGAAGTAAGAACTGAGAAAACACCTTACTGACAGAGAAAAAATATACATAGTAACACAGGAAATCAGATTATGAAAAATCTTGCAGTCCATTTATTCACTCACTTTACCCTTCAACCAAGCAAGCAAGCAAGCAACCAACAACCAACCAACCAACCAACCAACCAGTTGCCATCAAGCTGGTTTCAACTCACGCTGTCTTCGTGTGCTGCAAAGTAGAACAGACCTTCATAGGATTCCCTTCACTAGAATGCTTATGGAACAGATTGTCAGACCTATTTTCCATGGAATTGTTGGGTGGGCTCAAACTGCTGACCTTTTGGTTAGCAGCTGCATATAAATCAGTTGTACCACCCAGGGACCTATTAAGCACTAACAAGGTGATTTCTTGGGCAATGAGGAAAATATATCACTTATACCCACCCACTGACATCTAGTCTATTCCATAGACTTTTACAAGTTTGTTTACCATCTCTTAAGAACCTATTGCTTATCACTTTGTAGATACTAAGTTGCTAGATACCATAGTTTACATCCTGAAGGATGGAAATAATTTCATGAACCAATGTTGATGAGAAAAAGTAACGACCAACAGACCTTAAAGAAAGGAATATCTAACAAGCATTTGAGGGACTGACAGAGGCTGTCTGGGAGGTTTCCTTGCCAGAGATGACTTATGAGCTGTGACTTATGGATGAATAAAGAGCTGCAGATGGTTACATGTCTGATTACAAGTGGAAAGATCAGTGTTACACGAATCTTCTTGGGAGACAGAACTATTTTTCGGCCTTGAAAATCCTACATTGCAGGTCCACCTGCGCTGTCTCTGTGAGCATCAACTTGATGGCAACTACTACTATCATCAAGAGTCAACCGGAGCCTGAGTGACACAATGGCTTATTGTGTTCAGCTGCTCACTGATAGGCTGGTGGTCCAAGTCCACCCAGAGTCATCTCAGAAGAGAGAGTTGGTAATCTGCTTCTGAAACTTTCAAGCTCACTGCCACTGAGCTGATTCAAACTCATAGAGATCCTATAGGATGGCGTAGAACTGCCTCCATGAATTTCTGAGACTGCAACTCTTTATGGGAGTAGAAAACGGGGTCATTCTCCCTCTGATTTATAACCTAGGAAACATTATATGGGGTCAATTTGAGTCATAATTGATCCAATGGCAGTGGGGTTTTGAGCAACAAACTGGAGGACAGATTTGGGATAATTGTTAATAAGCTGTTACCCTCTAAAAGGTACCTGATAATAAAATCTCTGGGCAGGGAAATGAGTGACTTCCCGGGCAGATACAGGAATTGCATCAGAACTTGTCAAGTTTCCTGCGTCTGTTGGCTCTTACTTTGAAGAATGAAGTAAAAGAGTCTGGGAATTTTGCACTGAGGGAGATTTACATTTTGAATGAACAAAGAAAAGGCAAAGACCCCAAAAGAGCACAAGAAGAATTAGTGACTAGAGATGCACAATGAAGATTAGGGTCTTGGAAGGCCTTGAAAGCGTGAAGACAAGAGACAGACAGTCCATGAAGAGACATAAAGTCTCTAAGAAGAAATCTATAGCAGAGTTTTTCTGGTGTCCATTGGGCCTTCAGAATAGTGTAGGGCTGGAAGTCTAGTCAGCTTGTAGGGTCACCTGGCCCAAAGGATTCAGCAAACAAGAGAGATTATACTCATATAAAGGTTTTGAATGGCACAGTCATTGCTTCCATGTCTCTTGTTTTTACAGTGTGACCTACAGCAAACCTAAGTATGTTGCTGTTACTGAAAATTAAGATGATATTCCCTAACCATAACCAGCTTATAAAGATATGCCCAAGAACCAGTATATAGACAAGAGGCTGGCTATAAAAAGTGTAGGGGTGGAGATGGGCTAGTTTTCATCTGATTAAAAAGTCTTGTCTTTTATCAGTATTACCTGGAGTACAAGGCTGTGCCCTGGGTAATGAATCTAATTCTCCAATAGCTTTTAGTGCACACACCTGGTTCAAGGTGCTGGAAACATCGATGGACCCTTTTCTTTAATGCCAATTTAAGACTCATGATATACATCAGTCAATGTAGTATTAAACTTAGACTACACAATGTATAATAATGCTAGAACTCTTATCTGTGTTTCAAAGAAGTGTCTTAATTTTAATGATCAATGAACACAGTTTTAATCATTTGCTTTGGACATGAACATACCTTATACCAATGAAACTGGCTCCCTTGAACTGCAAAAATGACATTGATATTGTTGTCTATTAATTTTTCTGAAAGTTGGCCTAGAGAGGGATGTTCCTGTAAGAGATAAAGACAGTGAAATTTAGCCATTTAATTCTATACATAACACTGGTACTATCATAAAGACAACCATATGGCATGCTTCAATGCACACCTTCTTGGGAAAGATGATGATTTTTCTAACCCTTTGCTGTTGAGTCAATTCTGTCTCATAGAGGACAGAGGATCATTGCCTCAGGGTTTCCAAGGCTGTAAGCCTTCGGGGATGTGGACTGTCACATCTCTCTTCCAGGAGCAGCCTGAGCACTTACACACTGCATCCCCAGGACTCCTAGGGTTTTCCAGAGGAATTTACATTGCTTTAAAAATAACAGCATCATCTATAGCTAATTCAAAGAAAAGAGCATCACAGACACTTATAACACAGTCAAACAACAACCGATATTTTTCTTGGTGTCTTGGTTGTTACGCTTGTTCCTGGGGTTATATGGGGTGCAGATTTTTAAAATTACCTTGAATAGACCACATCAGCTCTAGTTTCATAGAACTGGTGTTCCACTGTGTTGAGCAACTGTTACACTAATTTATTAATTTATCATCCTAATTTTAAGTATGAGAAAAATTCAAACCTACAAATTACAGGATAAAACAAAAAGAAATATTTGAAAAAGAATTAGGTATTACTGGATTTCCAAGGGAAGCTATCCGCGGACCCACGGGGTAGTTGGCTAAGCATTGAGTTGACAATCATAAATCCGTGATTTGAACTCATCAGTCACCCTGCAGCCTTTGAAAGATCTAAAGGTTTGGGAACTAAAAGGGACAGTTCTTTTCTGTCCTATGCAGTCACTGTGAGTTAGGCTCAATTAGATGGAAGTGGGTTTTTCTTTTTTGATATGGTAAGTTGTTCAATATAAACAGACCACAGGTTGGATACTGAAAACCCATAACATAGCTTAAGAAGAGTGACAAATAAAAAAAAATGGAAAGGCACATATATGGGAGGTCTGAGGGCAACTTAAATGCTGAAAATATAAACCTTCACAGCCATTTTCATATCTTGAAGATCAAAATTTTCTTCTTTTAATTATGCAATAAACATTTCAGAACACACTTTAATAAATAGGAATCAATGGATTATTTGTTTTAAATGTTTCAGAGGTAAAGTTAGCTCCAAGTTTTTTTAAAAAGAAAAATTCTAACTTTTCTTTTAAGAGTCTCTGTGCACAGATTGAAAAGTTGTGCCAGCTCATAACATGACTGTAACATTTTAATTTTAATAAAGGAGTTTGAACTCTGACAGGCCCCTTTTGGATCTCAGAACATTTGACTTTCTATTTGGTGGACCAAACTCACTGTCAGTCAGTTGAATACAACTTACAGGGCAGAGAGGAACTTTTCCAGTGGCTTTCTGAGTCTGTAACTCTGTATGCAGCAGAAAAGTCTCTTCTTTCTCATGCACAGCAGCTGGTGGGCCTGCATGGCTGGCCTTGGGGGTAGCAGTCAAACGCTCAGCCACTACACCATCAAGACTCCTTAGTTATTGACAGTAACTCTTATTTCTGGCTCCTTTTTAAGATAACAAACTGGAACTGTTTGCAAATAAAGGTTCATTCCTAACAAAGGTAAAGTGATACTTGGGGAAAATTCCAAGTTCATGTAATTTGCATCAGTCAACAATATCTTTGGATCAAAGGACACCATGTGAATGTAAATATTTAGTGCAACACAAACTACATTTTAAAAACTGGCATGCACTTCTTTATCTTAGGCCAGCTAATGCTACATTACAATAATTGGACATTTTAGGAGCCAGCAGAATGTATAGTGGCATATGGCTTGGTATCTCTAAAATTCGAGTGGATAGATAATAATGGGTGCCAATTTTGGAATCAGTAGGTCAAATATAACACCAAGGGTGTTCAGCACCTGGTAGATGAACATCTAATGAAAAATAGTTTTAGAAATAAAGTCTCATTAGTGTTCATAACCTTCTGAGACAGCTCTCAATAACAAACACTAAAATGTCATACAGATGTAAACTGTTTAGAAGCAAAGCACCCTGTGCTTGAATGCTAGATAAGCCACTTTAGAATACAAGTTCGACCTCAGTGCCTTCTTCTGTAAAATGGAAAAGGTATCATCCACCTTCCCTACCTACTGGAATAATTACGAAGGGCACGGTGGTGTGTGCGAGCCATTCGTAGTTCTTTGTATGTAGTTGCTCTTCCTGCTAGGTGCCGTGGAGGGAGCCACCTCCGTGTCACAGGGGCCCTAGGGAAATGAGAGCAGAAGCAGCCCGCAGGGCTTTCTTGGCTGTGACTCTTCAGAAGCAGATTACCAGTCTTTCTCCTACAGGGTAGCTGGGTGGGTTTGAACCAACAACCTGTTAGTTGGCGGCTGAGTGCTTGACCGTGGTGCCACCAGGCCTCCTTTGGCATACAGTAGTTATTCAAAAATAACAACAGTTATTTTGATGTCATTTCTAACTGCTTGTACAATGTAAAGGCTATTTCAATGTCTCATCATTATCCTCTTGTCTAATAATATATAATAAAGCCCATTTTATTAAAATAAATAAAATTTGTGAATAGCTAATAGACATTATTTGTGGTGATGAGAAATCTGGGTTTTAATATGGAGGAGGAGTAAATTTTAGTTTGGGAAATGAGAAACCTGACAACTAGAGAAATTGCTAAAGTTATATAATTAGAATGCGTTTTTGTTCCTGTATCTACTCTTCTAGAATTTAGAGTGACGATCCCAAACAATCACTTCTCAGAGAGATGATGTCAAGATTTGCTTTCAATATGCCTCTGCCAGCAAGTGGTTTCTAAGCGCATAGCAAAGAGTAATCAATTAGCACTGATCCTAATGAGTATCGTGTGATTGAAGTTAAAATTGCCCTATAGTTTTTGTTCTCCTGTCACCCTTCAATGCCAATTATTTTCTCTATGGAAAAGTTTTGCCGAACCATCATGGCTAACATGTCTATATTTAGTAAAAGAGTTAAATTGACCAGTTTCACTAATTCCAATGGCCCATATAGTAAATGCATATACATCGATATGATCTGTGCTTCTTTATGTCACTCAATAACACTAGTAGCCATAATGAATATCTTTTTATCTCTATGACAATCTTTAATGTTGTGATAGAAACAAATAAAATTTACACAAATTGCATTTAAATTGATATACAAAGAATTTACCAGTTAGGTTTGTGTAAGGAAAATTCTCCCCAGAGAAATTTTTAAGAATATAATTAAATTCTTATAAAATAAGATGAAAAACACAAATTCTATCAGCTATATTTTTATTCCTCCCTCTTAATAAAGTACTAAAAGTAGGTTTCTGATAGCATGTATGGCTTTCATAAGTTAGGGAGAACAAGCAAAGGCAATACATTTAGATGTATTTTGTTTTTTTCCTTAAAGGCAGCAACTGTTTTCCTAATGTCTTTGCTTCCACAAAAAGGAATCAGTGTGTCAAGCATTCCTCCCTCTTAATTTTTAAAGCCATTCATATTTTAAGGAAAATTTAACCCATATGTTTTTAACCAGTTTATACGTAACTCATCATAAAGTTGATTTTTAAAGAACAATAAAAAATGCAAGCAGCTTTTGGAGTATTATTAATCCCTTTTCCCTTTCAAAAACAGGAAGTCACATTGACCAAACGCACATAAAATTAAACCCTAGGAAGTTCTTGTTTGGCCAGAAGCTCATTAAGAAAGTCAGTTGGATCTGTAAGCAGAAAGGACTTTTTTTTTTTAACCCTAGAAAGAAAACTGCTTAAAAAAAAAAACAAACCCCAAGTACCTAGAAGCAGATTTTTAAAATTACAAATGTGTAACAGATGTTGAAATAAACCACTGTTGACAGCAGAGCTGTGGATTAATGACCAGGGCTGGGGCCCCCCTCCCCTTTCCCCACGAAGCACATTATCATTTAAGTGTTTTATCTTTTATGTTGTGTACTTCACTAGCAGAAGCACACACTCCCTCCCAGCCAGCTGTCCGGCCTTGGTGACATCACTGCTCTGCAAGCCTCACTCCCCTTCTGCCTAGCCCGTTATATATTGTTTCTCTAAACTCTGAAAATAATTATTAGAGATAACAAACATTCAAGGGCCAATGGGAGGCATAAACGCAATGTGCCAGGACAGCTGCTAAGTAATTCAGGGCAAAAGGATTCCTTTTTAATTTTTCTTCTTCGCTGACACCTTCTCTGAGACCTGTGGGAAGGAACGCTGTAAATGCCAGGAGGGAAGAGGAGGTAGGGAAGACTCCTTGGGAGCACTTTCGGTCAAAGAGATCACTGTGTGGGCATGGGTGGTGGAATACTAATAATGTGCATATGTAGTTGGAGAAAAAGTGTTGAATAAAATGGGAGCCATAATTTTTGTATTAAGTACTACTGAATTTTGGTAGTGACTATTATCCTAAGAAGAACAGCAACAACAAAATAGAAGTTAAATAAAATATTCAATTATTTGGATTTTTTTCCACTTCACATTTTCAGAGGAGGATGGGTAGATACAATAAAAACTACCTGATTGTGGAGATTTGTGCAGAAATGAAAATGTTAGGTAGTGTGCTGTTAGTGAACATCTCTCCTGAGCGCCTGGTTTATACTCACCTGGCTTCACAGGGGTAATCTCATAGTTCAGGGTTTCACAACTTCAGAACTGTGGGAATTGGGGCCAGACTAGTCTTTGTTGGGGGCTGCCTTGGGCTCGGTAGGCACTTGTAGCAGCATCCCTGGCCTCTTCCCACTAGGGGACAGTAGTGCCTCCCTCCTGGGTTTGTGATAAACAAATAAACGTCTTCAGGGAGCAAAAGTGCACCCCCATGCTCAGTTAAGGACCACTGATAGAATGTAGCACAGGACCCAGAGTCGGGCTCTGGAAACAGACATTTGGCTACAGCTCCTGGCTCTGCAATGACTAGTTGTGTGACAATGAGCAAGTGTCTTCCTCTCTGAGAGTCCTAGTTTTCTATCTACAAGACAAATGTGAATATCAGAATTCACCTCGCAGAGTTGGGGTGGAGATTAGGTGACTTGGGACGCATAAAGGCTTTCCCTCCTCTTTCTCATTAGAAGTCTCAGATTCACGGCGACTGAGGGGTGCAGGTCCTGTTATGGAACTGGCTGCCCCCCACCTTAGGCAACCCTGTGCCTGGCTGTGTGACTACAGACACTGATCTGACCCCTTTAGTGCCTGGGACTCCTCATTTACAAAATGCTGGTCATCATAATGTCACACAGATTAGGGGCCTCCCAACTTTGGCGCTGTTGGCATTTGGGGCTGGAGAATTCTTTGTGGTGGGGGGCTTCAGGATGCTGAGTGGCGTTACATAAATGTAAAGGGCCAGCTACTGCAAGACGGCTTACTAAAAGATAGATTTACACAAAGGCTTTAATAGAAGATATTTATAAACCATGAGCAAAGGTTACATGTTGGGCTCTCAATGTGCTTTGTCTGACCTGACTTAGCCTTCTTTGCTGGTAGCACCTGAAGGCATTTAAGTTTCGGACTCCTGCCACATATGAGAGCTACTATAATCATATTTTATTTATTGAAGGAGGGACACAGGCTTTCAACAAAATAACAAAAAAAATAAAAATAAAATAAAATTCTCTGCTCAGATTTAATTGAGACATAGGACATTATAGTTCAGAAATATTTTCAAATGTTTTGATTGTGCCATTTTGCATATGGGTTCATTCCAGGGACACCAAAACCCCATTGCCAGGCTACTCAGAACCTGGAACAGGGGTTATTTTCATGTATTATTTTGCTTCCACTTAAAAAAAATTATAAACAATTGTTCGCAGTCTAAATCTCTTTACTAATGATTCAAATTATCTCCTTAAATGGAATGCTGTCTATGGTCAGTAATAATTATAAATGCTTCTCCCAGACTTGGAAATGTCAGCAATTTCTTTCTGATTAAAAAGCAATATTAGGATAACTATGATATGAAATCAGTATCTGGACCTGCTTGTCTTCCTCTAGAGTTCTGGATAAATTGAGTGTAATTCCATGTAATTGATTTTTTAAAAAGCTTCCTAAGTCAGTTCCTATAAAACAAGTCCATGTTAAAGTTGCATGAGAAGTGGCGCAATCTTGACTGCTTTACCCACGATGATAGCGGGGTTTACAACAGTTCCCACTGCCGTGAAGTCAACTCCAGCTCTGTGGCACAGAGGTGCAGGGTCCTTATGGAGGCAGATGCCTTACCTTCCTCCTGTTTGTGGCTGCTGAGCAGACCGCAGACACTGGTCAGCAGCCCAATGCGTAGCCCACTACACTACCAGGCTTCTTCAGGAGGGTGAGTAACGGTGATGCAGACCTGTGATTCTGCCCTAAACCTTCCGGTTGGTGGTTCTTCTAATTTATAGCTAGTCTAGTCCAGCTAGTGTATCCAGTGTTTGTTACTGTTTTGCGTTAATATGAAAATAAGATAAAACAACAAAAAAAGCCGTAGCTGCAATTATTTTGGTATTCACATTGACTTTCATGAAATGGCTATGCATACATGCAGTAAAATTCTGGTCTAATGTGATTTAGACTTAGACTATTAAAGCTCTATCAGCAATTGCTCACTTTCTTTAAAAAGTAAAGAGTCTTGGATCCAGAAGTTCAGATAGCATTCAACAATATTTGTTTTGGCTCCTAGAGATAAGTGTTTGATTACTTATGCTTGTCCAACTGACACTGTTCTAAATTCCTATGCTATAACCAAGTAAGGGGGAGAGTTAGCATGCTGAGTCAGGCTCAGGTAACATGAGGCATAAGGAGTTTCAGAGTTGTAGCATGTCTTGTATATAAATGTATGGCCCATGGATCCGTCAAACTGTTTCAACTTCTTTTGTTTTAAGGCAACCCCCCTTACCCCCCCAAAGCAGAATGATCATTTTTTAAAGGAAGAGGAACTGCTTAAAGTGCATAACCTGCACAACTGAACTATGGTTTATAGCACTCGATCCATCACGTCAGTGATGTTTGGGAAGTTCACAATTTTCAGAGAAGTGGAACAGTGTTCCAGAAGAAAAAAAGTAGTTCATGACAGATTGTCCAAATTCCTGGTGTCATAAGAATCCAATCACTGCCTAAAATGCCACCATATTTAGAGTTTATTTTCATAAGGTTCCATGACATGATACATGTCTAAAATCACAGAGGCATTTCTTTGCTTAAGGAATACTCCCTAGACAAGCAACAATACTCTCTCAGATACAATTATCAAGAGATGACTGAGAGACTTGGCAGCACTTCAAAAGGATAATGAAATTTGAGAACAATGTGATTGGTATTTTCTTTTAAAAAAAAATAGGTTCCCCTAGTCTCGTAACAGGATAGTTCTCATCTCTGTCTCCACTCCCTAATAAAAAATTAGGGCTTTACTTCATATTTCAAGAAGCTAAATTGAAGAAAGTTAATGATAAAGATGAAATGACAAAGCTGGAGGGAGCGGGTCGGCCAAAGTAAAATGTGGACGAGTAGGAGGGATTAGCAAATGGGTTATGACACTGTTGGGATAACTCCAAATCCTATATTTTCTTTTATTGAAGCTCTAATTAACTTCTTGAAATCTTTACACTTTGAGTTTGCCCCTAAAAGACTAACCTCGCCAAGAGTGGAACTTGCTTTCTGTGGTAACACAACTGCCCATCTACATTTTCAACGTGTCCGGTAGGATGCTGCAGATTAAAGGTCGACCTATTTAAAATTTTTGCAGGGAAAACACAAATTTCAGTACGTTTCTAATAGTGCAGCTGGCAAATTGTGTAATTGAGATGCCCTAGCAATTGTAGAAAATTCACACACTCAAAAGCAAACAAACAAAAAAACCCTGAAAGACCAACTAACTGTTAAAGAGTTGATTCCGACTCCCCTCCCAGGGATGCTAGATACGGTTTCTGAGAAGGTAAATCTCGTGGGGGGTGGGAGTGGGGGGGAAGATAGCTTCATCTTTCTCCCTCGGAGTGGCTTGTGGATAGCCGTTTAAATGCTTAACCGACAGTACTACCAAACCAAAATAAATCAATAAATAACAGAGACTTGAGATCTAACATTGTTGCTGGGGAATAAAACTAAGAAAAAAAAATTTACTGCCGTTCAGTCAATTCTGACTGAGAGCGACCCTGTCGGACAGAAGAGAACTGCCCCTGTGGGTTTCCAAGACTGTCGCTGCTTGTGAGCCTAGTCGTTCTCCCAAGGAGCCACCCGTGGTTTAGAACTGCAGACCCTGCAGGCCACAGGCCACTGTGTAGCCACTACACCATCAGGGCTCCTGAAAGCCCCACTAAGGTTCCGTAAACTCACAATGGTGCCTTTAAATATTTTAGAACTTCAAGGGAGACAGTGAAACTATCTGCCAAGTACTCATGAACTACTGCTGGGCTGTAGTGCCCGGCTGCATCATTACGTTTGACTGGCTGAGATTCCTGCGAGGTTGGGATTGTGGAGCTGGTTCTGATAAGCAAGAGCAGGGTAGACAACAACAGCAGTAAATAGGAAATGACGGTGGTGATGTTCAATCGGATTCTAAGGTTGGGGAAGCTCCCCTTAGAATGGTTTGATAATTTTAAAAGAATGACACAATCCCCCCCCCCCACAGATACATATAAGTATATATGCGTATTATTTTTAAAACCTGACTAACCACGTTGTTAAGACATGATATTTACTGAGATGTTTGAATCTATTTAATAAACACAACCACTGAGCATTCTTTTGTTTTACAGGCACCATGGAAAAATTAGACACCTCAAAGTCAACACAAACCAAAAAAAAAAAAAAAAATCGAACATCTCTATAGCTGCATCAACGAATAAATAGATTTTAGATGCTTTCTACAGATGCTTTCGTACATCTAGAATTAGCTTTGCCGACATTGATGTGGTTCTGAGAGACAGTATTTAAAAATGTGATTCAAACTTTATCCTCAGTGAGGAATTTTCCAGATACCAACAGGTTTCACAGTGAGTTCTACCCATTAATATGTTTCCAGAAAGAAGGAATGAGGCACCTGCCTTGTATTACTAATTTTTTGTGTGGGAGGGGTGTCTATTTAGTTTCCACCCATTGCACTGTGAGGATTCTCAGTCCTGTTATCCTTTTCTGATTACTCTTTAATGTTTGTAGATACCAACATGGTAGAAATCATTTATTTACATATATTTATTAACTGAGAAGTTCTCTTAATTTCATAAAACGTAGCCCTTGTAGTACATTTATTTCCATAGAGTGGTTTATAGCACATCAGAGGGTCAATTGTTAGATGCAAATAATTTTAACATTTTATATATATACATATACACATATATACATATATGTGTATATATATGTATATATACATATATATATATACTATTAGTATTCATAAACAGCACAGCTTCATCTCTCTGTCTCTCGTGTCTTATCCTTGCCCTCTAGCTTGCTTAAGGTGCTTTCTTGGCATGAGAAGAACAGAATGGCCAATTTAAACGTATGCTAACCGCAGTTACCAACAGCTCACGCTGCATTACCATGCTTGTGGACTTGACATAGACGTTGTTTTTCAGGTGGCAGTTCCCATCATTCGGCACCACCACGCCTGCCAATTTGCTGTCAAGAGCAAGATGAGATGTCTGATCTGTCATCACCAGCAGCAACCTTTTAGCTTCTTTTCGCCATCCAATATGACTCTTAGAACAAACATACAGTTAGACTCCTGTACATAACTGAGTTTACAGCCATTCAGTCAGCTTGGAATGATGTGGGCGAATTCAAGACTGCTGCATAAGCAGCACTGCGTTTTCATCACACATCTTCTATTGAACTGTAGACATCTGATCACACTAGCTCCTGGCCCGAGAGCGCTAGCCTTCCCCCGAAGGAGGAATCAGATGGACTCCTACGTGCAGGACACCCAGCGTGAGGTGATGAGGTTGTTGCTAGTCTCTTGTTGAAGGGCAAAGGATTTCCCCTGTGCCCAAAGTTATTCTTTCACTTTGGTCATTTTCTATTTATATCCCTCTCCCAATTTAGCACCTCTGCCCAAACTCATATCAAAATGACGAACGCTGCTGACTAATGAGAAAGAGGAGGGGGATGTATTCTTTCATGCTACTCTAAAAGTCAAGAAGAAAATAGAGATTCTGAATTCTTTGAGAATTGGGCGTCTGGGGCGACATTCAAATCCGTGAAATGTATTACCTCACAGACTGCTGCCTGAAGCATGGCATCAAAACCTCCTTCCGGTGTATCTATATTCCCAGAGATCTTCTGTCTGTGAACGGCCTTTTCAAACTCAGTGATGTTCTCCGTCAAAGACAGCACATGGATGTACCCGTGGGGAGGCATGCAGTCTAAATTATAGTCACTACACGAGAAAGAAGAAATGCAGATTCTGTTTTGTGATGCTTCTTTCAAAGTCCCGGAATAGTAATAGCAGTGACCTCAGAACGTGAAGGGACTCTGGTATTTTGCCAAGGATATTTCATAAAGGGAAAACCTATACCTTGTAAAATCAGAAAGAAGTAGAATATTGGTGAAAATATCTTTGCAAGTGGGAAAGAGGAGTCTAATATTTTGATGTTCAAAAAACAAAGATTAATCATGCCCCTCTAATACAGGACAAGTTGGGAATTTGATATACTAACATACACTTCAAGATTTCAAGTTTCAATGAGGGTTTGGAATCATTCCCTGTCATATTTTACCACTGGACAGCTGACAAACACTTTCAGGGAAATGTTTGTGGAGTTTAGTTAAAACACCCTATATCACTATTTGATTTTAGAAAAAAAATTGTACAGTTTTAAAAGCCAATGGTGGACCAGGGATTACTGAAGAATAGCAATAATCTGTTTAAGTTATTATGTGCACTTCATGATATTCTAGAGCGTGAGGGTCAGTCCTTTGTTCAATTTATAATCTAGAGGAAGGCTCATAGGGCTTTATGAGGAAATGAATCGATCCAATACAACATATAGCGGAGTTGGTTTGGAAAACTGGAATAAGTTTTATCAAGGAAGGATTCCTCACATTTATTTCGCCCCCCAAATTCAGCAAACTCGTGACAACTGTGTGTGAGACACGTATTTTAAGGTCAGTTCTTTCATAGTGATACCTAACAATATTCAGGATTACACTAAAAAAAATAAGAACAAGAATTCTTCCCAAATAGTCGTGTTCTCATTCTTTGACCCGCCCTCCATGCAGTGACGGAGCATCCTTTGTTAGCGGCACAAGCAGCCGAACTACAGCAGGATTACAACAAAATAACAGGAGACATTACGATTGAAAAAAACACAAACGAAAAACAAGCTGTAGATAGTCCCAAACGTTTCCTACAGAAACATTTCCCCTCCCCTAATATTTTATATCTTATTTAGTAGGATGACAATAGAAAAATGCATATACTCTTTATTTAAAGGCAGGATTTTACAATTGAGATTTTCCAAGAAAATGTAAAACCCCGCCCATCTGAAATCCACAGCCGACATGAGATACCTGCACTGATTATGGATCCTTTCGGGGTGGATGCTAATGTAGGGTGAAACGGTCTTATCCACATAGGAGCCGAAGCCAAGGCGGAAATCATGGGAGAAGAGTGACATTGTTCTAGACAAGTCATTTCCAACAGAGTTTAATTTTTCTATATTATTGTGCATCGATGCGGAGACATCCACTAGATAATAAAGATCCACAGGGTATTTCTTTAGAGGATGAATTTTCAACATGAAATTAGCCTCCGCACCTAGGTGAAAGCAAGGAAGAGAACATCACGTAGTCTTCGTTCCAACATCTTAGCGTAAACACATCATATCAGGCACCTTTTGGTATCCACAAGTATCACAGCTCTACCCATGATAAATATGGTGAGAAATACTGAACAATTCCAAGACAATTTGAAAGGCATAGCAATTCACTAGCCTGCAATGTATTCCCCACAATTCTGTGAAATATATGAAAAGATGAAGCAACTCAGTATAAAATTTCCAGGGAATATACTCATATTTATTACCAGGTAAAGGTGTATTTCCACTGTAATCTAGAACAAAACAACAAGCAATATCTCTCTCCCCAAAGAGAATAAATAGCTGTGCTTTGGAGCAATTTGAGTAACACTGGAAAGGTCCCCGAAGAAAACAACCTCTTTATTTGATACAGGGGTTAATTCATTATTTTGGGTTGAAGCATATTTACATAAAGAGTTGTGAACATTTTAATACTGGGCAGCACATTAGGCTATTGAAAACAATGAATAGCTTTTCATGAGTCTAGTTCCATAGTGTCTAAGTGTTGGCTGCTAGCCCCAAGGTCAGCTGTTTGAAACCACCAGCTGCTCCTCAGAGAAGAGGAGGCTTTCTAGTGCTCACAGAGTTGCAGGCTGGAACTCCCACAGGGGCCGTCCTCCTCTGCCCTGCAAGGCTGCTGTGAGTCACAATGGACTCAATAGCAGTGATTCTTTGAATCACGAATTACTTGTTAAAATTCCTTCCCAATGGATTGCACCTGATCTGATCGCGCCACACCGAGGCAAAACACTAAGGGGGTGCAACAGAACAGAGCGGTGAGGCCCCCAGGGAATGCTGAAGGTGGACTTTGGGGCCAGGGCGTGTTGCCCCAACAGACTGGACTGGAAAACACTCCTAAGGCCAACAAACAGTCCTTGAACTAACTACAAGCTTTTCTTTCTTGTTGTGTTTTGTTTTTTTGTCACTGCTTTGTTGTTGTTGTTCTTGTTTTGTTGACTATTGTTGCTTGGTTTTGCTCTGTCTTGTTTGTGTGCATGTTGTTATCTCCGCAGGTCTGTCTAAATAAGATAGGCTGGATGAACAATCTGGAGGAGAAAACAATGGGACCGACAGTCCAGGGGGGACATGGGAGAGGGGGAGGTGGGGAGAAAGGAAGTGGTGTTAACAAACCCGGGACAAGGGAACAACAAGTAATCCAAATCGGTGGTGAGGAGGGTGTGGGAGACCTGGTAGGGCATGATCAAGGGTAATGTAACCAAGAGGAATTGCTGAAACCCAGGTGGGAACTGAGCATGCTAGTGGGACAGGAGAAAGTAAAAGGAAATGGAGGAAAGCTCTAGGAGGCAAAGGGCATTTATAGGGGTCTAGATAAAGGCATGTACATATGCAAATATATTTATATATGAGGATCGGGAAATAGATCTATGTGCATATATTTATAGGTTTAGTATTAAGGTAGCAGATGGACATTGGGCCTCCACTCAAGAACTCCCTCAAAGCAAGAATACTTTCTTGTATTAAGTTGGCATTCTAGGATGCTCACCTTCCCGACACAACCGCTGAAGACAAAGCAGGTGAATAAGAAAATGTGGTGAAGAAAGCTGATGGTGCCCGACTATCAAAAGATATAGCATCTGGGGTCTTAAAGGCTTGAAGGTAAACAAGCGGCCAGCTAGCGCAGAAGCAACAAAGCCCACATGGAAGAAGCACACAAGCCTGTACGATCACAAGGTGTCAAAGGAATCAGGTATCACGCATCATCAGAACAAAAAATCTTACCGTAGTGAATGAGGTGGGGAGTGTGGAGTGGAGACCCAAGGCCCATTTGTAGGCCACTGGACATCCCCTTACAGAAGGGTATCAGGGAGGAGAAGAGCCAGTCAGGATGCGAGGTAGCAACGATGGAAAATAAAACTTTCCTCTAGTTCCTAAATGCTTCCTCCCCCGCCACTATCATGCTCCCAATTCTACCTTGCAAGTCTGGCTAGACCAGAGGATGTGCACTGGTACAGATAGGAACTGGAAACACAGGGAATCCAGGGTAGATGATCCCTTCAGGACCAGTGGTGTGAGTGGCGATACTGGGAGGGTTAGGGGGAGGTTGGGTTGGAAAGGGTGAATTGATTACAATGATCTAGATGTGACCTCCTCCCAGGGGGACAAACAACAGAAAAATGGGTGAAGGCTGACAGAAGACGATGTAAGATATGAAAATAATATTCTATAACTTATCAAGGGTTCATGAGGGAGGGGGGAGTAGGGAGGGAGGGGAAAAATGAGGACCTGATGCCAAGGGTTTAAGTGGAAAGCAAATGTTTTCAGAATGATGAGGGCGATGAATGTACAAATGTGCTTTACACAATTGATGTATGTATGGAAAGTGATAAGAATTGTATGAGCCCCTAATAAAACGATTTAAAAAAATTACTTCCCAATGTTAGCTGAGAGAAGAAATGAGTCAATAGTTCCAAAGCTGGTATCCAAGAGTGTCATATTGAGGATTTATTGAACACACAGGGCAGTCTATGTCCAACACATAGCTGGTGTTCAATAAGAATATGTTGCAAAGGGCATTGGCCCTCCGCCAATGAACTGTTGGGGAAGAGAGAATCCCAAGGACAACAGAATATAATCTTGTTTACCTCTGCCCATTATTGTTTGATACAATGACATGGGTTATTCTCTGAGTACCCTAAATAGTTAGTCTAAAGCCAAAACAACCAAACCCACTGCCACTGAGTCAATTCCCACTCAGAGCAACCCTACATAGGGTTTTCGAGACTATAGATCTCTAAGGGAGCAGACAGCTTCGTCTTTGTCCAGCAGAGCAGCTGGTAGGTATGAACCTGTGACCTTGTAGTTAGCAGCTCAATGGCTAATCCACAGTGCCACCATGGGCCCTCACATCATCAGTAGTGCTATTTAAGTTTAAAATTCTTGGTGGAAGAGCATCAGTTTACATCCAAGTAACTCAGAATTTCTGAGGTATTAAAAAATGTTTTCATTAGTCATTAATTAATTATATGCTCTTAGAGAATGCTTTAAGTGGAAAAATAATTTTTATTTTCATTTTTAAATAAACACTAATTTGTATAAGCAATGTATAGTCTGGTCTATTTTTAAAGACATTCCCTAATTTGTCAAATTCGTTTGAAGTTAATGTGCTTGACACTTGAAAGTAATGTTTTCTTGTAAATTATTTGATACATCAGATGTTTTCCCATCAGGTTTCCTACCCAATGTATTCAAAATAATGTCTAAGTAATAATTATATATATATATAAAATGACGAGGGTAAGATCATGTCCCTGTGTATGTATCCTACAATCATTCTTAATTTACCGTTCTGTTGTGCAAACTCTGTTACCGTAACATTCCTAACTTTCTGGTCCAAAACTTCCAAGGACAACTCAGGCATGTCTGGCCCGGCCCGGCCCAGCTCACTCTTTCACCCTTGCTCTTGGCAGCTGGACTTCCTCCGGAGAGCACACGTGTGTGCTGTTTCCTGGCATCCCATGAAGAGGTTTGTCCCTGATTGCGTGTCCTACAATTTGGGTGACTTTCAGTTCAGGAAACTGTTCGGGTCTGGTGCCCAGGCCCAGATGAATGAGAAGGAAAAGCAGAGTGTGAGGAGAACTGGGACACTCCGAGTGGAGGGACTTGGACTTGAAAGCAGGGGTTGGCATTTTCATCTTGGCAGTGTGTAGAGGACCTGTGTGGGCCATGAGATGTTCTCTTTCTTAATCGTCGTGTCGTTGGCACTTAACTGTTGTGATTCAGAAATACTCATGTGACTGATGAGCTTAGGCCCTGGTCACATGCTCTTCCTTTGGTGGGTCACTACAGCAACTCTGTTGAAAGATGGTGGCTTTCTGTTTTCATAGAGTCAACACTAAAGGCAGTGGATATTTGGCCTAGTGCACAGCCTCAGGCAAGTATAGGTTGATCTTAGGAAATAGGCCGAGTCTGTATAGCACAAACAAAAGCACACTCATTGGAGGCCTAACCTATTCAGAGAGCTACAACCAAATGCCAGCCACCTGGGGCTCCTCAGCTGCTCATAGACTACAAGCAAATTCTGGCCTCCTGACCTCTGTAAAGAGAAGGGATATGAGGACGCTTTGCTAGATGGTCCCGTCTGAGCACGTACGGTCACGTGATGTTGGACTGCATAGATGCTGGCCTTAGCACGTGTACCTGGGCCAGTCCTTGATCTCGGCAGAGCCCGAGACCTCAGCAAAACAAGCTTTCAAAACAGGGGGAAGGAAACTCTTTCCCTAGAGTTACTGCTAGCGAGAACACGAATCACTACTTTTAAGCAGCACAGCACCTGAATTCCCTGTGAGGTTCCAACTTTAACTAGTCAGTTCTAGGCGGATCCCAAGCCCACTCTGCGTGTGAGGGAGGAAACCAGAGGGACCACACTTGGATTGCCTGTGGCTTGCGGCTTGCTGGTGAGTTGGAGACACTCCCCACAATATGGTCTCAATTGGATCTGGATTGGATAATTGTATACAAGTGGAAACAATATCTTCTTTGCGAGGCAAGTTTCTTAAGCTTATATTTTATTATATTCAGTGACATTGTTCTAAAGACAAAAGTAAACTTGGCTTGGTTGTAAGGAAGCATGGGTTACTACTTAAATTAAAGGCTAATTGTGGTACATTTAAGTTAATGTGGCATTTTATCTTTCACAATAAGTTAATTATAGCTGCTCTTGTCATCTTGGGGCTTTTGAGTGTTACAAATAAAGGTTAGCGGTTACTTAATTCATGTATGCATTATCTTTCTTTACCCATCACAGGAAGTAAGTTAAGCAGTTTGTTACAATGAGAAATGAGATCAGTCATGACTCAACTGTTTTCTTGTTCATGTACTTTGTTGCCATGGTTTAAAGACTTCATTCTTTTCAATAGCTTTCGATTTCGGACTATAGGTAAATGGAATAATGCAGTTGGGTGTGTGCTTATATGAACAGCTTTAAAATATTCTGTTCTTG